GAATTCACATCCTGATGGGCGTTAGAGAGAATGAAAATACAGTGACTTTTTTGTACCTGAGATATCTAAGCTGTGTTTTTGTACCTGACATATCTAAGCTGTGTTTAAAGAATATGAATATGACCCTTAGGAGTATGCTATGTTAATATGAGAGATAAGACCAGGAGCACAGTAAGAGACTTTTCTGGTAGTATAGGGTTAGAAATTATATACCTGAATTTGGAAGTGTATTTTTTAACTATTTTCAGAGACTGACTTTGAGTATATACGCAAGCAAAATGTAGTAAGCTCTTAACATGTGAATCATTAAAATATGTAAATTATCTTCATTCTCATTCTAGTTTCTAATGAAGAATAAAAATTATGCGTAATTTTTTACCTTCTCAAATATTTGTTATTTGAAATAAAATTTAAAAATCTAACGCCACAAAAATATCCATTATCATGCATTCTCCTTTTGGTTTATATTAGGCTACATCTGAATATTCTCATGATTAGTTTGGCAATATTGCATAGGGGCAACTGAACAAAAAAACTGATGAATCAACTCACTGGTTTGGATGTACTTATGAGCTGGCAGCTTGCACAAAATTTTTAAGCATAAAAGAAAGACAATTTTTCTGGACCATTTTGGAGACCTGGAGGAGAAAAAAAAAGCAAACAGTTTTTTAAAAACTGTTTTAAAACATCAGTTTTAAGCAGAAGTAAAATGATGACATGTGCCTCCCTTTTTCTCTTCTGTTCCTTGATTCATATACCTGTGTACGTACCCATCTACTTAACTATTTGTAAGTTTATATTTTGATTATACCAATAAATGAGTAAATACAATTGAATATGTACAATATGTAATTTAGACAAATAAAATTGCCTTAAAAAGCTGCAGAAGGAATTTCTGGAATTTAAATACTGAATATTACTTTATTCATGGTTGTCATAATTGAGCTGTGTGCTTATTGTGGACAAACGTTGTAGTGACTGTCCTGAATATACACTGAGTTTTTGAGGACAGCTTTATAGAAGTATAATTTACATATCATAAAATCCATTCGTTTTAAGTGTAAATGCAATCATTTTTTCATGTATTTTTAAAGTTGTACAGCCATCATCATGGTCCAGTTTTAGAACATTTCCATCACCATATTCACACCATCAGTCCCAGGCAATCACTAATCTGCTTTCTGTCTCTTCTCTGGATATTTTATATAAACATAATTATACAATATGTGGTCTTTTATATCTAGCTTTTCTCCACTAAGCATATGTTTGCAGTTTATCCATATTTTAACATTTATCAGTACTTGGTTTCTTTTTAATTAATTAATTTATTTTTTGAGCAGTATTGTGTTATTATATTAGTCTGGATGTGCTGCTATAATAAAATACCTGAGACTGGGTAATTTATAAACAATGGAAATTTATTTTTCACTTTTCTAAAGTCTGGGAAGTTCAAGATCAAGGTGTTGGAGATTTGGTTCTGATAAGAGGTCTTCTCTCTGCTTCTGTGCCTTGTTGCTGTGTTCCCACTTGGCAGAAGAGCAAAAGGGGCCTACCTACTTCTCTGCAACCCTTTTATAAAGATGCTAATCCCATGCATGAGGCCCACTTCTTAATAATGCTCCATTGTGGATTTAAATTTCAACATGAATTTTGGGGGAGATATAGATATTCAAAGGATAGCATTCTGCCCCGGCCCTCCAAAATTTATGTTCTTGTCACATACAAAATACATTCATTTAATTCCAATAGCCCTAAATGTCTTGACTTGCTCCAGTATCAAGTTTACTGTCTAAGTCTAGTCTCAACTAAATATCATTTAAAACAGAGATGAGTGAGATTCAAGGTGCAATTATTCTGAGGTATATTCTCCCCCATCTGTGAGCTTGTGAAATCAAACATGTCATGTGCTTCGAAAATACAATGAGACAAGTATAGAATAGACAGTCTCATTCAAAACAGGAGAAATAGACAAGAATAAATGGTTAATCGATCTCAAGTTCAAAACACAATGAGAAAAGCAACATTAAATCCTGGGGTTTCAGAATGACCTTATTTGATTCCATGTTCTGACTTCTGGACACTCTTGGAAGATGTTGGCCCCCAAGGTCCTTCAAAGCCCCTTTCTAATGGTTTTGCTAGGAACAGCCATATAGCAGCTCTTAATGGGTCAGAATCTGGTGCCTCCAGCTCTCCCAGACTGGCATTGCATCCTGGTGCCTCTGTAGGTATGAGATCTTATGTGTTGCCCTGCCCCAGTGGCACTACAAGAATAGCCCTAGTTAGGACTATCCACAATGACCCGAACCCCATGGCTCTGGTGGGCCCTAGCCATTGCTGTAGTCCCTAGAGAACTTTATATGGGACCCTACCCTTATGGCAGTTCTCTTCCTAGACTCCAATATTCTCCAAGACATCCTTTGAAATCTAGGTGGAGGTAGCCATTTCTTCAAAACTTGTACACTCTGCACACCTGCAGAATCAGTGCCATATGGATGCTGCCAAAGTTTATCACCTGTGTCCTCTGAGCCTTATCCTGAGTCACACTTGGAATTGCTTCTGCAGCACTTACAGTGACGGAGTACTGTGCCCAGAATTCAGGAAACATAGTCTTGAGTCCCTAACTGTTCTGATTTCAAGGCCCTGGCACTCTGGGCCTAAGATGAGGGTGGCATCCTAGAAGAACTCAGAAATGCCTTCAGTGCCATTCTTCCATTGTCTTGATGAGTAGCATCTGGCTTCTTTTCATCCATAATAATCTCCTTATCAAATGATTGCTTGGCCAAACCCTTGCTGTTTTTCTGGAACACAATTTGTTTTCTTCACAATCTGACCAGGCTGAGAATTTTCCAAATCTTTAAGTTCTGTTACCCTTTTGATGATAAATTTCATCTTTAATCCATTTTTTTTCCTCTGTCATTTTTCTATAAACAATCAAGAGACACCAGGCAGCACCCTGAACTCTTTGCTTAGAGATTTCTTCTGCTAAATATTTCAGTTCGCTAGCCTTAAATACTGCCTTCCACAAAGAACTAGGACACAGACAAAATTTGCCATGATTTATTACTTTGTGACAATCATGGCTTTCAGTTTCCAATTAAAAATTCTCATTGCTGTCTCAGAAATCATCAGAATGACCTTTACTGTTCATATTCTGGTCATAACTACTTAAATAATCTCTGAGGAGATTCAGTTTCTCTCTACTGCTCTCTTCTTCTTCTAAGCTTTCACTAGAGTTGCCATTAATGCTCCTTTAAAAAAAAATCTAGGCCGGGCTCGGTGGCTTAGCCTGTAATCCCGTGCTTTGGGACGCCTAGGTGAGTGGATTGCCTGAGCCCGCGGGTTCGAGACCTGCCTGGGCAACTTGGTAAGACCCCCATCTCTACAATAAATCAAAAAAATCAGCCGGGCATGGTAGCGCGTGCTTGTAATTCCGGCTACTCAGAAGGCTGAGGCAGAAGGATGACCGGAGCCCAGCAGGTCGAGGCTGAAGTGCCCGGGAGCGGCCACTGCCCTCCAGTCTGGGCGACTGAGTGAGACTCCAACTGAAGAAAAAAAAATATCTAGAATTTTTCTGGCATGCACCACAAAAATTTTCCAGCCTTTACCCATTACCCAGTTATAAAGACTCTTCCACACTTCTAAGGTATTTTTTTAAAATAACAACATTCCACTTCTCAGTACCAATTTTTGTATTAGTCCATTTGTGCTGCTGTAACAAAATACCTGAAAAGGGGTAATTTATAAACAATAAACATGTATTTCCCACAGTTGCAGAGAATGGAAAGTTCAAGATCAAGGTGCCCCTGATTCAGTGTTTGGTGAGGGCCTTCTCTCTGCTTTCAAGATGGCACCTTGTTGCTGTGTCCTCACGTGACATAAGGCATTTGGGCAAAATGGGTCCGAACTAGTTCTCCAGCATTTTAATAAGGTTGCTGATCTCATTCATGAGAACTCTAGATTTAATCAACTCTTAAAGACCCACCTATTAATGTTGCATTCTGAGTATAAAGTTCAACATGTATTTTCGAGGAGACACATTCAAACCATAGCAATTGTACACTGATTGATTGTTTCAAATTTTGTTTCTTCCTCCAACAATGCATAACATATTTTCTTAAAACTAATAGCATACTATTTCTTACGTTCTTTTAACAATTCCAGTTTGAGAGCATCTTCTAACAAATTCCATACTGCTCCCTTTCTTCCTTACCATCAATAGCTTTCTACAGATGATTGATCCATGATTGAAAATCATGGTATCTTAGTTCATTTTGTGCTGCTATAGCAAAATACCAGAAACTGAGTAATTTATAATGAATTTATTGGCTTTCTGGGGGCTGGGAAGTCCAAGATTAAGGTGCTGTCAAAACGTGGCAGAAGTTGTCAGTCACATGGTAGAAAGGAAAAGGTAGAGAAAATGTACATGAGAGTGTGCAATAATGGCATTAGTCAGTGTTTGATGGTGGAGACCTCGTGACCTAAACACTTTCTAAAAGAGCCCACCTCTTAATTTGGTACAATGGCAGTTACATTTCAACATGAGTTTTGGATGGGACAGACATTCAAACCATAGCACTTGATAATTATTATCTCCTCATGTCTTTTACTGTCTCTCTTCAACTTAAATTTTTAAAAAAAGATTTAACATTTTGATAGGGATTAGATTTAATAATTTCTGGTCCCATGTTTCTTTGATGTGCATTCAGTGTGTTTTTATACACCCATAAAATTCAGTCTGTTGATTTTTCATGTTAGTCAGATAGTAATGTGATATTTTGACTACCATTTTTGGCAAGCTATTCATCAAAATAAGACTATGCCTAGTTGATGAAGAAAAAAACTGAAAAATTATATTTTTCTGAGAAAATAATCTTGCAAAATATAAGATCACAGCTATTAAATGGCTTTATGGAATATGCTTTGGCTTTCAAAAGAATAATGATGAGAAATAATGTGTCCAGTTTGAAAGATTTAATTTAAATGCATATTTGTTTCTTTAGCATTTGTGGAATCCAACATCTGGAACGAATTGGAAAGAAGCTGAATCTCTTTGACTCACTTTATTTTTGCATTGTGACATTTTCTACTGTGGGCTTTGGGGATGTCACTCCTGAAACATGGTCCTCCAAGCTTTTTGTTGTTGCTATGATCTGTGTTGCTCTTGTGGTTCTGCCTATACAGGTAAACATAACTATCTTAAGCTGTGTAAAAATGTGCAAGTTATATACAATTGCATCTTCCACAGTTAATAAAAAATGCGGGGTGGTTTACTTATTTAGCAGCAATATATTAAGACATAGTTTTATTCCATTTGATCATTTATGTAAATTATTTCACAAATCCTTTTTTTTTACATTTTATTAGAGACACAGGGTGTTTTTGTTTTGTTTTTTTCCCCTCCAGTCACTGATAGCATACATACCATTTCAATCCTTCAATATGTTTTCTTTTAAATATATGGTATTTAACTATATTAATTTTAGGAAATATAGTTTTAGTTATAGAATGATAAATCAAGAAATAAAGTCTTAAAACATTAATTTCCTTCAGTTTTTTTAAATAATCCAAAAATTCATACAGTGCAATGGATAAAAATTGATTGCTTATCTTGGTCAACTAAAGCAAAATCTGAACATAGTATGTAAAATATTACATGGGCATTTTGAGTAGTAAAGAGGGAGATTGCAAAAGGACAGAGATATAAAATGAAACTAAAGATAAGCAGATGCCGTCTTTAACCCTTTTCCTGTGATAAACCATGGGTGCCCACATGTGGGCAGGTCAGAAACAGGATGTGGTGAATACAAAGCAAACCTACGTGTTCCATTACATAATTTTAGCCACAATGTATGAGTATCTAAATATTCCCTGTGTAGGTACAGTAATGGCCTTTTCACACACACCTGTCCGATCAAGGATGTGTTTTTTTCCTGACATCCTTTCCTTACATCTTCGTTTTCCTCAGTTATTGGTTACTGTACAGCTAGAATGTAGCCTTGTGTATTGTGGTCAGGGTATCTCCCATTGCATTAGATGTGGGCAGAATGTAGCAGAGAATGTGGAGAAATGCCGATGAGGCTTTTCTTTTTCACTAAGCACATGACATGTCATACTTCACTGGATATAAAGCAGAAACACAAACCTCTTAGTAGCCTGTTATGCTATAATAGCAAAATCATATTAATGTGTTTCCTTAGAGACCTAAAATCTCTAGGATACATTTACAGCCTCTGCAGAAATCATATGAAAAGTTTGTCATTGAAAGGAACACTGATAATTCAAATCTCAGTAAGTTCCATCTAAGGAATTGAATGTTCCTGAGAAACAATAAATATATTGGGTTTATTTACTTGTTTTCATATTAAGTGTTTTTAATTCACATGTGGAAAATACGTTGCAGTTTGAACAGCTGGCGTATTTGTGGATGGAGAGACAAAAGTCAGGTGGAAACTATAGTCGACATAGAGCTCAAACTGAAAAGCATGTTGTTCTGTGTGTCAGCTCACTGAAGATCGATTTACTTATGGATTTTTTAAATGAATTCTATGCTCATCCAAGACTACAGGTACGTTTGGATTATATTATGCACAGTACTGAATCATACCAACTAACATATTGTAAAAGTCAATTAACTGATGGTGCAACCTGCTTTGTGGAGGATTTTTATTTATACACCCACGTTTAGAAAGAGTAAATGAAGAACTACAAATATAACCAAGAACATAGAAAAAAATGCTGGAGGAATACACAGTATTTTAAGTTTCCTTCTTTATCTACAATAAAGGATAGATGGAATTATGTTAATGCTAAAAAGAAAAAAATTATGGAATTAATTACTTTTTCTCCTCTGGGTACAGCATAAATGACATTTTTATGAAACAGTGGATTTCAAGATAAAGCATAACAAAATATAAACCATTCCAATATCATCTGCTCACTTTGAATACTGCATGCTTCTAGCAAGTATTGCTAATAGAAATGTGGAAGTTTGGGAGTTTCATTTTTTCTTTTGTTTCCTAATGTGTAAATAGATCCTATTTATAATAACAATAAATGACCAATAACTGGACAAGAACTGAATTGGAAATATAAATTCAGAGATATCTCTTCATCTGTCTATTGAGATGAAATATTTGAATACTTCTTCTCTTGCCATGGTAGTGGGTGAGTGTAGATGTAGGAGATCTCCTTTTCTGCTTAGTGCACTTAGTCTAGACTCAAGAACAAAAAACTATTTGAAAGTCTTGCATTTCCTTAATACATTTATGTCAAGAAGGTGAATAATCTCAGAGATCAAGACAGTGCTTGGTATGTCTTGAAGTATGAATTGATACTTAAGGCTTCTGCCTGGTATTCAGTGTACATTTTAGAATTAGTCTGTAGTTATAACCAAAAACTTCACAGGTTGGATGTTTACTACCAACTGTACCACTGATTACCTTCCTTTTTATGGTACTAGTAAGTTTGAAATGAGTCAAGATGAATTTATTGACTTACGAGATTTTTGTCTCAGTTGTGCTCATTATAGTGTAATTTTATTTAATATATGTCAAGGTTTTGAATGTGAACTGTTGTTAATTAGCAAGAGTAACTTTCAAAGTTATCATATTTCAAATTTTAAGGTATTTTACCTCTGTAGTATAACATAAAGTGCTATTGTTTCTATTCCATTGCTTATTTTGTTTTGAATAGGATTATTATGTGGTGATTTTGTGTCCTACTGAAATGGATGTGCAAGTTCGAAGGATACTCCAGATTCCAATGTGGTCCCAAAGAGTCATCTACCTTCAAGGTTCAGCCCTTAAAGATCAAGACCTATTGAGAGCAAAGTAGGTATCTCTCTCTGATTTCATTCTTGCAGCTTACAGTTTTGAGTACGTTAAAATAAAAATTTTACCAATTTTCAATGTGGTAATAGGTGTTTAAGTATGTTTGAATATAGAATATTGCCTTAATCTCAGTGCTGATCCAACTGAAATTTTAAAATATAAAATCAGTGTTTTTGCTCCTCTTACCCAGCCCTGTCTCAGGGCAAGGTTGTTCAGCAGATCATGTCCATGCATCACAATGAGCAGTGTGGTAAGGTATCATGATCTTAAGCTGTCAGAGAAGGGCTGAGGTTTCCAGACTCATTACTAGAATAGTCTGCAAATCCACGAATACTGTTTTTACTTCACAAATAAAAATCTTTGGCCAATCATTATGTGAGACACCAAGGCAGTATGAGTCAGGTTGTAAATTTTAAAGAGTTTGCAGCATGTACTGGGCAGGCAGCCCTTGCACTGCCTGGGGTCAGAGACATCAGAGTCCCTGGAAGTTAGAGGAATCAGAAAGGTGGCAGGTTCCTACTTAGCTACCTTCTTTTTGTGCATGTTCCAGCCAACTTAGCTTATAAGGAACAATAGTCAAACATTTGTCACAGGTCATGGGTGTATACCAAATGAGGAGAGTGTAAGCATAGTTGGACAGAGCGTGGACACCAGGGAATCAGGGCTTCTGCAAAACAGCATCCTTAGTTTAAGAAGCCAGAAGAAATCCTTAGCAAAAGTTGTTTTGCTCAATATTTTCTGCTGCCTTTAAAGTTTTTAACAGGCCTTCATGTTTGTCCTTGAGTTGTCCTACATGCTATTTTATATTTAAGTCTCCCCACTGAATTTGTAGCGCAAGTCCTTTTTAAT